ATAAACCTAATGCCATGACGGGTTTTAAAACTTCTGAGCCAACCATCACTGTATACACACTTTTGAGTAATTTTCATTGCTTGGTGAAATTCACGCGCCTTTTCCACGAGGAGCCACCCTGCCACTGGCTTCTTCGTCACTTCATGTCTCTGTTTGTACCACTCCCACACTGCGTTATCAACACTCTCCACTTTTGCTTTACTTACTACCTTTCTATTTCGTATTGCTTTATCACTTTCACTTCTAGAGAAATAGTCAAAAATGATAGGTTTAGCCTTAAGAAGATCAAAAACAGTACTTTTACTAATGCCATACTCAGCGCACACGACACTTCTCGGGACACCGCTTTCCACCTTCTTAATTATTTCAACTTTCTTTTCAAATGTCATCACTGACCTCTTTCTTTTACGTAACCCGCTTGTAGATGCTTTCACTGACACAATACGTGCATTTGGAGCCGACATGGTGCACGGATGTTCCTTGAGTGTGCTGATATGTAAAACAAAGTCACGGAATGAACACTCCAGTCTCGTGACAAATTCAAACAATGGGAACAATAGGCCGTGAGTCTGTGACGTCACAGGGTAGCCGGCGGCGCCCGACACGGTCAGTGAGCAAACTAAACCATCACCCACCCCCCAACCACCCACCACGGGCTGGCACGACGCTTGGCTGACTGCTTCCTTACCCGAGCCTGCCTGCCTGCCTCCTTCCCAGCCTGCCTGCCTGCCTGTCTGCCTGTGCCTGTCTGCCTGTGCCTGCCAGCCTGTGCCTGCCAGCCTGTGCCTGCCAGCTTGCCTTTCCCTCCCTAATTCTCACTACTTCCGTCCCTTCCTGCCTACCTCCTAGCATCTCTCCCTACCTCCCCCTCTCTCTTAGCATCTCTCCCTACCTCCTAACATCTCTCCCTACCTCCCCCTCCCTCTTAGCATCTCTCCCTACCTCCCCCTCCCTCTTAGCATCTCTCCCTACCTCCCCCTCCCTCTTAGCATCTCTCCCTACCTCCCCCTCCCTCTTAGCATCTCTCCCTACCTCCTAACATCTCTCCCTACCTCCCCCTCCCTCTTAGCATCTCTCCCTACCTCCTAACATCTCTCCCTACCTCCCCCTCCCTCTTAGCATCTCTCCCTACCTCCCCCTCCCTCTTAGCATCTCTCCCTACCTCCCCCTCCCTCTTAGCATCTCTCCCTACCTCCCCCTCCCTCTTAGCATCTCTCCCTACCTCCTAACATCTCTCCCTACTTCCCCCTCCCTCTTAGCATCTCTCCCTACCTCCTAACATCTCTCCCTACCTCCCCCTCCCTCTTAGCATCTCTCCCTACCTCCCCCTCCCTCTTAGCATCTCTCCCTACCTCCCCCTCCCTCTTAGCATCTCTCCCTACCTCCCCCTCCCTCTTAGCATCTCTCCCTACCTCCCCCTCCCTCTTAGCATCTCTCCCTACCTCCCCCTCCCTCTTAGCATCTCTCCCTACCTCCTAACATCTCTCCCTACCGCCCCCGCCCTCTTAGCATCTCTCCCTACCTCCTAACATCTCTCCCTACCTCCCCCTCCCTCCTAGCATCTCTCTCTCCCTCCCTTTCTGACTAATTATCCCCCTCTCTCACTGATTCTCCCCCCCCCCTCTCATACTGCCTCCCACCTAAGCTCCATCGTCCATCCACCCACCAGTCAGCCATCACTGACGCAATGCGTCCATTTGGAGCCAACATGGTGCACAGATGTTTCTTGATTGTGCAGATATGTAAAACAAAAGCACAGAATGAACATTCCAGCCTTATGGCAATTCAAAATACTGTAATAGGAATAATAGGCCGTGAATCTGTGAAGTCACAGTGGGCACCCTGGACCATCTCCCACCCACCACCACAAGCCGGCGTGACGCTTGGCGGACCCTTTCCTACCCGAACTTTGTTCGGGTAGCATGACTCCCCAACCCCAATCGGGAAACTGGAAGTTTCGGATAACTAAAGTTCGGAAACCAAGTGGTGCTCTGTATATGATTTTCTGATCGCTGGAATGCTCTTAAAACTACTTAATCACCAAGCCTGTGATTGTGCACTAAGATGCAAATTCCAGCACAGAAAAAATCATGCTGTCATTCATGAGTAATCAAGGATACATTTGATAGAAATTTTTTAATTATACAACTAAACTATTCTGCAGCTGTGTCAAGCCTTGACACTCTCCTCTCTCGCTGATCCTGTAGATGTGCAGCTGTGTCAAGCCGACATTTATTTATTTATTTATTTATGCATATACAAGAATGTACATAAGGAATGTGAGGATACAAATATGGTAATTACAGTCTTGTAAAGCCACTAGCACGCGCAGCGTTTCGGGCAGGTCCTTAATCTAAGAAAATTTTAAGGAGGTAAATACTTGCAAAATTTATAGACAAAAAAATGATAACAGATTACATGAAATGAAAAAAAAAAAAAAGATGAGAGAAAATTGTAGGTACAGTATATTAAAGCACATAGGTAGCTAAGATTGATTGCAATGACAGCTTAAAATGGTAGTTGACAACAGATTGGTAGGCACAATACAGCAGAAACAATATAAGATTGATTGCAATGACAGCTTGAATGGTAGTTGACAAAAATTGGTAGTCACAATACAGCATATGGCTAGCACATAAAAGAAGACAGCAATGAACACAATGATAAGGTTGTTTGATATTACATAAAAATTAGGAGATTGGGTAACACTAGGTACAGAGCAAATTTAAAGCTCAGTGTAGGAAACTAAGAAGATGAAGTTAGGTACTTTTTGGTTTTGCTTTTAAATAAGGCAAAAGTTTTACAGTTTTTCAATTCACTAGGGAGTGAGTTCCATAGACTAGGTCCCTTAATTTGCATAGAGTGTTTACACAGATTAAGTTTGACCCTGGGGATATCAAAGAGATATTTATTTCTGGTGTGGTGATAATGGGTCCTATTACATCTGTCCAGGGAGAGTTTCAGAGCATGGTTTGCATTTAAGAACAGGGTTTTGTAAATGTAGTTGACACAAGAGAATGTGTGGAGGGAGTTAATATTTAGCAAGTTTAGGGATTTAAACAAGGGAGCCGAGTGTTGTCTGAAAGCAGAGTTAGTTATTATTCTGATAGCAGATTTTTGCTGTGTGATGATGGGCTTAAGGTGGTTTGCAGTGGTAGACCCTCATGCACAGATACCATAATTAAGATAGGGGTAGATTAGTGCATAATATAGTGAGAGGAGAGCAGAGTTATGAACATAATATCTGATTTTGGAGAGTATACCAACTGTCTTAGAGACTTTCTTAGTTATGTGTTGAATGTGGGTGCTGAAGTTGAGTCTCTTGTCTAGGAATAGGCCAAGAAACTTGCCATCATTTTTATTACTGATGTTAATGTTGTCTATCTGTAGCTGAATTGCATTTGATGATTTGCTTCCAAATAAGATGTAGTAAGTCTTTTCGATGTTTAATGTTAGTTTGTTCGTTGACATCCATAAGTGGACTTTTTTTAATTCATTATTCACAACATTATTTAGTGTATGTGGGTTGAGGTTTGAATAGATAAGGGTAGTATCGTCAGCAAACAATATAGGTTTGAGAATATTAGAGACATTAGGCAGATCGTTTATATATATAAGAAATAGAAGAGGTCCTAAGATGCTGCCCTGTGGCACTCCAACGGTAATTGGTAGAGTAGAAGAAGTTGTATCATTGATGGTTACATATTGGTGTCTGTCACTAAGATAGGATCGGATGTAGTCAAGGGCAAGGCCTCGGATTCCATAATGCTGGAGTTTAAGTAAGAGGTAGTTGTGATTAACAGTATCAAAGGCTTTTCTTAGGTCAATGAAGAGTCCAATCGGAAACTCATTTTTGTCAAGGGCTGAGTAGATAACGTCAAGGAGACTAATGATTGCATCGTTGGTGCTCTTTTGAGACCGGAAGCCAAACTGGCAGGGGCTGAGTATGTCGAATTTTACGAGGTAGGAATAGAGCTGTTTGTAAATAATTTTTTCAAATATTTTTGATAGAATGGGTAGATTTGATATTGGTCTATAATTGTTTATGTCCGCCGGATTGCCTCCTTTATGGACTGGCGTTACTCTTGCTTCTTTGAGGATATCAGGGAAGGTGTGACACTCGATAGATTTGTTGAACAGTAGTGCTATGGGTGGGGCAGGGCATGGGAGGCTCTCTTGTACACAATGGACGGAATTTCATTGGTGTTCCCTGCCTTGGTTTTTAGAGAGTGTATGATGGACACAACATCTGCCGGGCTGATTCTCCTCCCTCACTGATTCTGCAGCTGTGTCAAGCCCTGACACTCTCCTCCCTCACTGATCTTATAGCTGTGTCAAGCACTGACACTCTCCTCCCTCACTGATTCTGCAGCTGTGTCAAGCCCTGACACTCTCCTCCCTCACTGATCCTGCAGCTGTGTCAAGCACTGACACACTCCTCCCTCACTAATCCTGCAGCTGTGTCAAGCACTGACACTCTCCTCCCTCACTAATCCTGCAGCTGTGTCAAGCCCTGACACTCTCCTCCCTCACTAATCCTGCAGCTGTGTCAAGCCCTGACACTCTCCTCCCTCACTGATTCTGCAGCTGTGTCAAGCCCTGACACTCTCCTCCCTCACTAATCCTGCAGCTGTGTCAAGCCCTGACACTCTCCTCCCTCACTAATCCTGCAGCTGTGTCAAGCACTGACACACTCCTCCCTCACTAATCCTGCAGCTGTGTCAAGCACTGACACTCTCCTCCCTCACTAATCCTGCAGCTGTGTCAAGCACTGACACTCTCCTCCCTCACTAATCCTGCAGCTGTGTCAAGCACTGACACTCTCCACATCAACACACTCCTCTGTCCAAACCCTCGCCCCCCCCCCCCCACGTTCCACCAACACACCAATGGAACCTTTAATATAATAGATGAAAGATGTGTATTGTATACAGTGGGGAAGGAAAGCGGCAGCAACAACTGTGGCTCACACGAGCCCCTCCCGGCACACATCCACTCACCTCACACATGTACCGACCGCTGTCTTCACTCTTAACATATCGAAACGTGATTTTATCTCCAGTGATTTTTATTCTGTCGTGCCTCTTCTTCTTGTCCAGCTCGACATTGTCCTGAGGGACGGCAAGGACTAGTGTAAGATTTGAGAAGGAAGCTTCACTAATTTAAACTATAATATTTCACTCTGAAGGAAAGAATGTTGACACCTGTGTTTTATTTACCTCGGCCTGTGACACTGGCTATACAGTTCAACACTAATTCTGCCTGTGTTATAGTACCTCACTCATGGTTTATTATTACATTACTCAACAATATCAGCTTTATATGAGTACTCAACTGCACTGTCAACTGTATTTCAGTATTCGACAGTTTACTCCAGTACTGCTCCCAACCGGTCACTTGTGTTGACCACAACCATAAAGGGTTTACCTTGTACCAGGTGACCTGAGGGACGGGCACACCCTCGGCACTGCACTCTAGGGTCAGGTTACTCATCTCCTTGAGGTTGTGGTTTTTAAGAGGCGACCCAACACCAGTCTTCCACGTGGGCACCACCATCGCTGAAGAGGAAAATTTATCTTATATATTTCAAAGAGAAGTTATATTTTGAGTATGAAAAGTTAAATCACTCAATAAATGGAGGCGTTTGATAACTTATTTTTTATGACTTCTTCATTATTAATTATTGGAGTCGGGTGAATATAAAGGCATCACTCGATTATTGACTTTAATAACACTTGTACTAGCACGAGGCTATAGTAGACCACACGTAGTTGGGTGCCCCTGCTCTCTGTTTACAAAATTGGTGTATGAAACGCAGCCGCAAGCACTACTACTACTAATTTACTGTGAATATTTTAGTTTACCTTGAAAAGCTTAAAAGAAAACACCAATGTAACCTAACCTTCTTAGTATGTTAAGATAAGCATCTTATTGCTTCTTAATTACAATTATTACTTAACCTATACCTATATTGATATTACAGTTTTATAAAAAATTAAAACAAAACCAAAATATTTAAATGAATTGTAAAGTAACTCAGGATATTGTCAAATATTGTATAAAATCTCTATTGTTTAATAAAACTGAAAAAGAAATTCCTAATATGAAAACTGGTGTTTAGCAAATCTATAGGAAGAGTTTGTACATTATAAACAAAATATAACTTGGCATATACCACATAATGTACTTATTAATCAGTCAAATAGTGACTACAAGTAATTAGTCATGTATGTACTGTCTTGTGCAAGAGAGGGTTGCACAGACATGACAACCTTCCGTATGGCTCAGCTACATTTGATATCTTACAAAAAAATTAATTTGAATAACAAATATACAAAGGTAATGGACAGAAAACAGTACCAAGGTAAAAAAACATTTAAGTAATATACAAAACAAGAACACTTGGGTAATGTACAGAGTAGCGTACTTTATGACCCAGAGTGTCCCAAAGCCAAGGAAACCGTCTGGATCGAACTCGGTCACAGTCAAAAAGTATGTGTGATGTCCGTAGATTAGGACAGGGTACGTCAGGGGGGACGTTCTGGGTTATGTCGGTAAAATGTATGGGACGTTGTGGGTCATCTAGGTAAAATGTGTGTGTGTGTAGGGGTAAGAGGGGGAGGGTGGGATAAGTAATGGGAAAGGTATACATCAACAAGTTAATAGTGTGAGAGAGGGAGGGTGCTCCCACATGGTGTGGGACAGGCAGCGGCATGTGGGACGTTGTGGGTCATGTAGGGTAAAAGTGTAAGTATAAGAACAGGTGAGCAATAGTAGTAGTAGTAGATGAATATGTGTCGTAGAGTTAATCGTGTGTAGATATATATAGTTGCCAGTGCAGGCTACTAAACATATGGCCCTGTATGACTAACCATCCTGCGAGATGGGAACTTTTATTACCACTGCTGCCTTATTCAATCTTGTGTTGATGATATCCTCAAAATGCTTCCGGAGTCTGCCAGTGCAGACTGCTTGTCACATGCCTCTGTTTGACTAACCATCCTGTGTGATGGGGATTTTTTAACATCACCTAGTTAGCTTTTTTTGACACACTGTACTCCACTTCATATAGTCTAGGGTAGCTGCACTAATGCAGATGTACCTCATGTATTAATAAAAAATAAATAGTTAAATAACAATATGTAGGATATGTTGAGGAGGTGTAGAGGAGGGGACCCCCTACCCCTGAAAGGGTAGGAGACCAGACTTTAGAGATGGGTGGTTAGGGGTAGGGCATGTGAAGGAGGATAGGGGAGAGGGTAAGGGAGGGGAGCAGGTGGTAGTAGCTTTGTCTGATAGTGGGGTCTCATTCTTTTTTTTTTTAAACACTGTCTGTTTTATGTTGGAAAAAAACATTAACTTTCTCACCCAATTCTGTTTGCGCCATTGGTGATCAATGTCGGCGATTAGTTTTCACGTCAGATAGGGCTGTGTTCGTGGTAGAGTGTCTCAGCAGCAAATGGAGTGTGTCAATGAGCTGTAAATAGTTTTTTTTCTATAAACAGTGTGGGTGGGTCTCTCCCCTCACTCCCACATCTTGCTTGCTTGTTTCCAGTGCGGTACATACTCAGCACCGTCACAGTTCCACATGCAGGCACATAGACATGAGGTTCTCACCACATACCAGCAGACCACATAGGAGCCATGAACTGTACTAAGAGGTGTGTACCTCCTCCTCCATATGTGGTCTTTGTCGCCTCGCCCATGAGTGGACTGTGTTCACGTTAAGGAGGTGGGGTCATATGTCGCATCCTCCCCCTTCCCCTCACCCCCCTCCCATGCAGGTGACAGTCATCATCAATCACTTGACAATTCCACACACTTCACATTTCCTCAGTCCACAATAAACAAGGGAAAAAGTAAACACATTATATAAATTTATTCTTTTATTAAACACTTAAGTGATTTACAACAATAATATTAATAATAATATCGCGGGCATGTATCAACCTGTGGTCTTGTATGTCTTTCACCAGACAATAAATAGTTAAAGGTGTAAACCCTTTATATATAATTTGTCCGAGGAGGAAGGCTTTGGGGCGTCGGGTAACCTCTTGGGAGTTTGACACATAACTGAACTGAATGACATGTTACCACACACCATACCCAGAAGGTCCCCCACCACCCCCTCCCCCCTACACCTAGCACTCAGGTCTGTTTACATCTTCCCCTCCGAGGTTGAGGGGGGGGGGGCTTAAACGCATGTCTCTATATTCCCAACAAATAACAACTATAGCCTGAGGTATAGATCTTTTAATTTTGCTTTCACTCTGAGTAACGAGCCTCATCGCTTACCAGTCTTCAATTTTCTTCTATCTAAACAAACTACTGCCCCGCATTTAGCATCACTCAGTAAACTTCAAGCAAGTCAATAGGTAAGCGTTTACTGAATGAGGGAAACATTTTTTTTTACATTTTAAAAGAGGTCTACCAGTCTTCAAATTTTTTCTATCAATCAAATCAGTGGTAGTAAGTGGGTCTTCAATATTTTTGTTTGTTTGTTTTTAAAAAGTAAGTAGAGTTTACACTTTCAAGCTAACTAGGTAGACTCTCTCTCTCTCTCTCTCTCTCAGTGGTGTACATCGGAGATCTAGTAAGAGGGTTGACATTAGTTCATGTCTTGAAACACCTGATCCTTTCCAATGAGCCATGAGCGAGCGAGCGGTGCTTTTTTTTTTTAACACACACTCATGCATAGGATACACACATAACAGTCTGTGGTTTTAAATTTAAAGCAAAAAAAAAACAAAAAAAAAAACAAAAAAAAAACAGAGACTGGTGCTATCACAGGGGGATGAAAATAGAATATCCAACTCTCTCTTAATACTTTTATTCGATAACTGTAGACAATAACATATGTACCTACATAAAGTAGGTACATATGTTATTCACCATCCAAACTTATCATATCTACTTCTTGCTCTTCATTTTTTTTCAATTATTATGAGTTGTTTTCTATGTTTTTTAACACCTGGGCTAAGTGAGCCAGAGCGGGGTAGTAGTTGATCTCCCATTCAAGCTTTTCATCTTGATTCCACCCCTTACCGCAGGTCATTCCAAGCCCATGAGGAATTTTGACGCGCTTGATTGAATTATGACGCTTAGTCAAGCTTAAAATTTGATTAATGAATAATTTAAAGCTCCAGCGTCTCTTGATCATAGTATCATTGCAGAGTCCCTCCATTATACAATCAGCATCATCCTCTCCACACTGCTTTAATAGATTTTTTTTGTTATCAGCATTATTTTCTATTGGTGGACCTTCACTATACTGTGTCACAATAGCTATAACATGCGGTTCACTTTCTGGTGAAGGAGAATGAGAAAAGACCGCTCCTCCTACTTTGATGGGATCACCGACTATCACATAGTTACTTAATGGTTGAATCACTTGCTGCAGGCATGTATAAGGATACCTTTCCCAGATCTCGCAAGACATTCCTCTTGAATGAGCTTGAATTGAAGAAAGGTCATACATTATATAATCTCCAGGACGGAACTCTGCTGGTCCCAGATAATCGCCTTCTACTTTACAGTCTTTAAGACAGGTTAGCTTATGAAGCATATACCCAGAACACCATGTTAGTTATTAAACGAGAGTTTGTTGAAGTATAGATTATATACAGTACAGAGATAGAGTTACCATTTACTCTTTTTCCAAGCTCTATTACCTCTGTAAATAGTAAACGCTGTCATCCTTAGTTTTTTGTTAAAAGTGGAAAGATAAACACAGAGTATATATTATTATTTTTATATTTATTAATTGCAAGCGAGGGAAAAATGGTACAAATAATAATAATAAAATTATTAATGTAAATCGTATATATTCATCCACATTTCTACTCTGCTGTTAAATCAATGAGTTCGATATTCCCTGTGAGATCTATTATGTGTATGGGTCTGCAAGGGGGTGTTGCAGTTTCTCCTTCTGCTTCGACTACATCCACATACATGTTCTTCTTCATCTGACAACAGGCGGTGGCTACTCCTTCACATATATTATTAACTTATGTGTCAGCACACCATATGTAGGCAACGTCGCAGGGATCACATCATTTGCAGAGTCAACCATCACAAATTTTAGCCCGTGTTGCTGGTAATGTTGCTCCAACTTCTTCATTATGGGTAGATATTTCAGTCTCCATACTTCACAATCATAACTCTTCCAATATTGACCACACCCCATCCCCAGTCCAAAAGGGAAAATTATGCGATTAATTTTATATTCTTCTTCTCTTGTTAAGATAACTGCAAAGGCCTTACGCAGAGATTTTGTAAACCAGTAGCGCCGCTTTTCCTCTGTATCCAACTGTAGTCCGCAGTAGTAGTGGGGGTCAGCAGCATATAATGTCTTGATTTTCTTCATCGACATGTTTAGTGGTTTAGAAGATTTCCCTCCAGCATGTTGCATTATTAAGCCGATGAGATGAGGGAGATGAGGGTCATCATCAATTCGATTGTTGAATTGGGGGGGGGGGGTTTCTGCATAGACAATCTCTCCAGGTATGCCTCGATCTCTTCTCTCTGCACGATTTTTGTAGGGCAGCTTGCTCCGATG